CACATTTTCCCGCTTTAGACCTTTTTGGGCCCTCACCATCAAACCCACTGAGACTGAGCATCTGCAGGGGCGGCAGAGCATTACCCTCTGAAGTCTCACTGTGACACCGCCATGACACCGGAGTGTGTCAGCCCCCGTGGGACTGACCACTCTTCCCTGAGCGCAGATTGGAGGCGAGACCTTGAGGAAAAATTATTACTTTTATGTTTGCTTTATGGCTCATTTTTCACACTAAACGCAGAAAATCTATGCGGGGGTCACAGAACACCTGCTTCTCCCTGCCGGCCCGCGGCGCTTTTTGCAACCTCTGGTATTGATGAAACATTCAGCGGAGCAAAGTATGCGGGCTATGTACTGCTGCTCTCAAGTCTCTATTTTCCACCGGCAAGTGTATTGGGACTTGTTCAGCTCGTATCTGCTGGGCTTTTGGAAATGTCAGCCACACACACACACACACACATAGAGAGTAGTGCACAAAGCCAGGCTGGTGTCAGTGTGTCCTTATCTGTGAGCCGACATGACTTGTGATAAGAGATAGCATTGCCAGAACAGGTCATAAAATCCCAGCTTTTATGGCGCGGTTATTGTCTTTCTGTCTACAATTATAGCGATTACTCATTTCCCCTCACCTCCTCCACCCGTGGCCCTCACAGCGCACTTAATAGACTGCATTTTACTAGTGGAAAATTAAGTAGGCGCCTTGGCAGTGAGGTTTATAAATATGTAAAATAATCTTTTAATTATTTCAAGTGAATCTGGCAGCTAATCAATAAAGAGGGACGTGACAAACATACGTTTGACACGGGCCATTGTAAAGCCACTGGTAAGAGATAAGCACGGCCTGTCAGCGCAGTCCGGCCCTAATGAATATTTTGAGGCTGTCATGCGAGGAGAGAAATGGATTAATTGTGGCCCCTGCTAATATAATGGCTCCTTCATGAAGAGTGCAGGAGAGAGGAAGAGGAGCAGGAGGAGGAGGAAGCAGCGCAGTGGCTGCTGGGTTCAGAACCCCAGCGTCAAATGAATATTTATGAGGGTTGGGGTTAAGTAGATTTTTGCGATTACACGGGTATCCACTTAGGCACGGCTGTTTATCATTTGTTTGATAATTGATTTAGCCGGTGTCATATTAATTTTGTTTATAGTCGTCTGATCTGGATCTCCTGCAGGAGCACCACCTTCGTCCAAAATCCACACATTGAGGATTTTTAATTTTAAAAATGCTTTAGGAAAAACCGTTACATTTTCCATTTTGCGATAATTTAGATCTTTTTATTGTTTACAATAAAACAGAAAAATGTTAAATTTTAATGACAGTAAAGCACAAAATTTATTTTATTGAAGACTTGAGCCATTACTTACATGTAGACAACGTCTGTTTCTGGTTGCTTTGGACTTTTTAAAAGGCCCAAAGCTCTGCGTCACAGAGTACAGCTCCTCCCCCACCTGTTGCTGTGCACTCCTGGCCAGCTTTAATGTATTAAATACTTAAATGTTTAAATACTGTTGGGACTTTCCAATCTGCATTTTGTCCAAAGGCATTTTAAAGAGGCAACAAGGAAATAATTTTACATATTTCCTAGACAGTTTTAAAAATATTTTTTGACATTGAGAAGTTCTGTATTTGCAAGAAAAAAAAAATCATTGATAAAGGCGTACATTAAAATGTAAACACTTAGATATTCTATGACTTATAATGTCACACGTGAGAAAAAGCTCCAAAGTTTACTGAGATTATAAACGTTTTTCAACAAGCGAATGCCAGAAGTTGTTGGTAAACTAAATCAGAATGATCTCTGGAGATATGCAGCATGGCTGGGTCCAGTTTGGACCCGGTTCGGGAAAGGGTCCAGATCTTCCACTTCCACTCAGCAAGATGTCCAGATGTGAATGTTTTTTATTTACATCTTTAATCTTAGAGAAGTTTTGGCACTTTGTGTCTCAAATGTCTGACTTTATAATAACAGACAAAATATTAGTTTTAATATTAATAAATGTATGTCTTTTCTCTGGAAAATTATCTTCTTTTTTTTCAAATTTCGACATTTCAACATCACAGAAAATGGAAATGCATATTTTCAGTTTGTTTTGGAAATATGCAAGATGAATGTAGATTTTTTTTTTTTTAGGATTTTTTGATAGAAATTCAATCCTTGCTTTATTTTTTTTCTTTGATTCACATTAACCCCAATATTCTGTCGTATAAAACAGACCTTAAAAAATGCAAAAAAAATTCACAAAAACTTTAACAGATATGCCATTTTTAACTGTTATTTTAACCACAATATGTCCTAATCTTTTTCAGCAGCAGGAAATCTGTTTCTTTTCAACCTGAAATTAAAAGCAGTTACATCATGTGATCTTTTTTCCTGCAAATGTCATGTCTGTGGTCTTTTTTTCAAGGTTAATAATATATCATGAGAGCCTCCTACATATGAAGTTCATCCATTTTCTGTCGATCAGCTGTGCTTGGACCCGTCAGATAAATTGCAGAGTGCAGTTTAATTTGTTATTTAAAAAGATATGCACCTTATGTCTCTTTATTTTTGCTTCACCAGCCTCTGAAAAATTCCCATAAACAACAGCACTTAGCACAGTGCCACCGCCTTGACAAATGGCACCCGTCTCCCTCCCTGCCTGTGTTTTCCTATTTATCTCCCAGTCTGGTGTTGGCACCTTTAAGGTGAAAGACAACATAAAGAGAAGCGAGCACAAATAAAGCGCAGCGGCCGCCTTCCTGGAAGCCGCTCTCCCTCCGCGGTGAATTTTTGACCTTGAGTCTCGCCTTCCTCCATCACAGCTGGGAAGAGGGAATGACGAAGGGGAAAGGGAGGGGGCGGGTGGCGCGGCGGAGGTTCGGGTCACCAGCCGCAGTTCTCATCAATTAAATGCGCGACGGTGTTTTGTGTCGGCTGAACTTATATGTCAAGGAGATGGGCAGGACCTCATGTTTGTGCTTTTGACAAATCAGCAAATGTTTAATCTCAAGATGTGCCGGCGAACATAAATAATGCAGAGGAACGCCGTCCCCCGCACAGGAAAAGACGAGAAAAGATAAAATCCTGCCTCATGCTTCCTGATTGTTTTCCTTCAGCTCTTCTCCCCTTGTCATACACTCTGCCTTACGAAAGTATTCTTGCCTTTTGGACCATTTCTGATTTTTGTTATGTTACAAACCTATGGAACAGACAATATGGCTGAAAAACTTCAGTATTGATAATTTTTGATTAGTGTTTGTTTTAAATATCTGAAATATTGCCAAACGGCCACAGTTTTCACTCCACACGGTTGTTTTTTTTATTATTAAGAAGCTATGAAGGACAGTGGTGGAACCTTAAACTGCTGCTGCGCCAGTTACTCAACAGGTTGTTGCTAGGTAACCAAAGAGTGAGTGAGTTGCTAGGTAACCAAAGAGTGAGTGAGTTGGTTAATTCCACCAAACCTTGCGTAGTGGGCCATGAGAGGTTGAGCAGCTAAAGCCTGTCTCTGCCTACATCTCCCAGAATGCTCTGCTGTTCTGGACCGTAGTTCAGTGAATATTTTAGTCTATATTTTAGTCTATATATTAGTGTCTGTTGTTGATCACGTGTCTAATTCAATACAGGAAGTCGTATGTATTTGTGAAATTAAAGATAAATTGCATAGCATTTTCAAATGTTTCATGAATAAATTTACATTTTGCTGCAAACATCTTCATATTAGATCAAGAACATATTTGAGCATCAGCTTTGAAGTCTTGCCACAGATTATCAATTGGATTTTGGTCTGTGCTTTGACTAGACCGTTCTAATTAGGCATTCACCAATAAATTGACCCGAATTTCCTTAATTTTGGGAAATTGGCGATCGACAGAAGCCTGTGCAACTGCTGACTAAAAAAATAATAGTCATCAGAATTGAATTAATCAAGCTAATTTTGATTTATCATTTGATCAACTGCTTATTGCAACAGGCTTATCTCTACACCTTTTCAATATCAGGACACATATAGATATTAACATTAGACTGGTGCATCCCTACTCTGAAATTGTTTTTTATTCACCAACATTTTCATATTTGCATCTAACTTAGTTGTTTTTGTCCTTTGTTCTTTTTATTTTGTTGGATCAGCTCTTTCCAGTAGAACTGACTCACCAGCCTTTGCCTCAGTGTTTGCTGGGGGGGCTTGGTGGTGGCTGGGGGGGGACAGAGACTTATCCTGAGCCAAAGGTCTGCTATCTCAAAGACACAGGGGATTGAGCTTGAGCTTAGCCTCCATTTGCCCTAAATGTAAAGAGGCCAACAGAAAGCAGTGTAGTGGAGTGTGAACCGCATCAAATCCCCCCCATTGCTGCTCTCCCACTTCTTCCCACAGACTTTGATTGGCTCGTCCACCGACTGGGAAAGTTTCCTGATTGTTCGGAGGGAAAATTAAGATTTTAAGCCTATTGAAGTTGATCTTTGCTCATTGAAAAGTCCATCTGAATGTGTGCTCTGAAAGGGTAAATTGTTGCATTGGAGGAGTGCAGGAAAAAGGCGAAGTGTACTGTACTGGGAGGACGCTGCACCTGTCGCTGTGCAGCTGATGGTGTGTAGCGGTTCTGGTGGAGTGGGTCTGTCCGGCCACGTTGCCAACCTTATGAAGCCAGTCGTTTAATTAGAGAGACAGGCTGAAGGTTTTAAAGTCGCTATGAGGAGCGGCAGCTGTTTTAAACTTCAGCTAATTAATCACAACAATGTGGAGCAACAGTTGCTGTGGTAACGGCATTGCTAATGTCTTTTCAACCTGACATCGTGTTGGACCTGAACAGGCTGGGGCAACGTCCGTCCATCCATCCGTCCGTCCGCCTGTTCACTCGCTGATTTTAAAGGCTCCATGTTTAAGTTCTGGTCATTAAATAAATATTTGTCCTGAATTCCTGCTGATGTTTTTTGTTTTTATTCTAAATGTTTCAGTCAGTCCTTTCATTCCTTCTCTGCAGCATCAACCATCTAACATTGTTTCCTCTTCTCTCTCTGCAGGCTCTTGGATGTTTCTACTTTATCCACGATTCTCTGAAAAACGTCTTGGAGTATAATTTCGAAGGTGAGACCCCCCCCCCCACACACACACACACACCACCCATACATCACCACTCCCTAGAAATGAATCCTCGTGTCGATCCCATTTACCAGCTATTCTTGTTTCCATCAGAACCAGTCAGCTAAGATTGACTCTTCAGATAATACGGAGGCAGCAGGACCGGATGGTAATGCTTATTAATATTAGGATTTAATTCATACAGTTTCGGGGCTGCCAGTAATGGCGTACTGCAAGTTATTGGACAGTTACAGCGGTCTCATCAGGCCGCCGTGTCAGAGGGCCCTGGGGTCCGGCGACCGCGCTAATTAAAGAAAGGATATAGATGAGGAGGCGCCTCACTTCCTATTAGACACCAGATCAGCTTTAGCACCAGTGAAGGACAGGGCGGCGGTGTGGGGGAGGGTCACACACATCTACAGGCAGAAGAAGAACTTCAGTCAGAAATGTTATATTTTGATTATTTTCTGCAGTGGAATTAAAATGTTCACACCCATAAATGTTAAAATAATAACCATTTTACTCTGCTTCTCTCTAATTTAACTCATATCTGGGCTCTCTGTGGGGTTTTTTTTGTATATTTGCTGCCAAATATACAAATAAATTCTGATTAAAAGTAACATTAAATTATTTTTCAACTTGGTAAAATACGTTCTGGGCTGGCTTTTGCTCCCGGCAAACTGAAATGCAACGCAACGATTACACCTTCCTAATATTTGTGCTGTAGATGTATAAAAACATGTTTTAACACCAATCAACTACTAATAACTTCTCATGCCTTCTCCATTTAATCCTGAGAAAATACTTAATTGAAGGTTATAAAAATAGCACTTATTTATCTGATTGTGTTTTTTTACATGTTTTTGAGTGTTCAAACTATCTTGTGTTACAATAAAATCACAAAACAAACAGTACACTCACCTGGTTGCATGAGTGTGTACTTTTTGATTGAGTTGTCACATTGCAGTCTGTCAGCATCCCAGCTGCTGTCAGATTGTGACGACATGTCTTTTCCACAACCTTAAAATCAGATTTGGTTCTGAACTCTGGCTGGACCATCACCCCCCCCCCAAAAAAATGATCTTCTCCTCTTGACATCAATATTTCGTTAGATTAATATTTAGCATCGTTTTGTTGCTGAAAAATGAAAGTTTGATTTGGGATCAAATTTAGCTTTGGGTTGCAGGTTTAGACAATTGTTCCCTCTGGTTTTGGATGCTGTGCAGCTGGAAGAATTTTTGAAATTACATTTCTACTTATGGATAGCTGACCTGATGCGTAACCTTGGCAACAAAGTATTGTTTTTATAATTGGGAGCAGCTGATTAGCTCATGTAATACCGAAACTACGACCTCAAATCACAGAGGAGTTGAAATGCAGGCTTCATGGAGAAAAGGAGGAAGTCTTGGCCAGAAAGAGATTTAAAGTGAAGCAGCAGAAGCAAATAAGGTGGATTAGCAGTACTGGTGTCAAGCAGGACATGTTACTGTGGAGTTGCCCGAATATTGAGCTGTTAGCATTTCATGACAGTAATGAGACTGTCAAACTTCAAAAGCCTTCAGTCAGAGGTTCCTTCAGTTTAGTTGGAACACTGACTGCTACAGGAGATTCTTCGGATCCACAGCATCACCAAAAACAACTTTTCTTTGAAGATGCTTGGATGAAATGAGTTATGACATTTAATTTTTAACTGGGGTTTTTAATCCATTTTTTATTTTGGCTTCATATTGTGAGGTCAATACGGCTGTTTCATTACACATATCACCCCCTATAGAACTGTTTATCATTAAATATTATATTATTCACATTAAAACAACAGCTGTATTCCTGTAGCTGCTCCTCGTTTTAATTCTCTTCCTGAAGTTCTTCAGTCTGGCCAGCAGGTGGTGCAGTTGCCACTTCAGCAGCCTGAGCAGTTAGAAGATTTAGACTCACTCATGAAGTCCCCAAATATTAACAAATCTGTTTTTTGTGACATTTCTCTCCTTTTTTCCACTTTTCTCCTTCACTTCTTCCTCCTTCTGTCCTTCTCCGTCTCACCTCTTCCTCCTCCTCCTCCTGTTCCTCCTCAGACGCCAGGTTTCATAAAGTGACCGGGAAGGAAATCCGTTCAATAAAGCAGTGCAAGTCACCCATGGCGCAGAAGGAGAAGTTCCCAGCAAACTTCTTTGAACAGGTGGGAAGAAATAAAATTCATAAACACATGAATACTTTTTTTAACTTAATATTTTTTGTTTGTTTTTCCTTAATTTTAGATGTATTAAAAAAAAAAAAAGTTATGTCTTTCATATGCATGCTCAGTTTGAACATGAATTACACCTAAAAAGAAAAAGGTCCTGGTTGCGTCCCGCTGATCGCTCCGCTGTGTACGGTTTTCCCGTCAGACGGCGAGCCGCGTGCACAGCGCCGCAGTGCTGATGTAGTAATAAAGAGCACGGCGGC